AAGTGTTTTTACTTACTTACTGTGGCTTGGCAGACAGGCAGGCTGTCTAATTGCCATGTTGTGGAATGCGCCTGTCTGCTGTAAAATTATTTTTATTACAAAATTTCGGTTAATTATTTGTTGTCGTTGTTGTTGTTGGTCTCAAGAGCAATAAATTGTTTGTTGTTGTTGTTGCTGTTTATCCTCTTTATGGTTAAATCGTTTATTAAACTAATCATCCATCGTCGTCCTCGTCGTCATTATCTTTGTCGTTATGGCTATTTATAAGGACATTCCATCGTTTGTTCGTTCGTTCATTCGTCGTCGTAGTTCGGAACATGTGCCGCTTGAATTCGTATTGAAGTTTTTGTTTTTTACTACTATTCTGACGAAATTTTACGTTACGCGACAAGTGTGTTGGAGTGTGTGTGTGTCTGTGTCGGCGGTGTCTGTGTTTTGGGTATTGCGCAGTATACAAAATTCCCATACAATAAATCGAAAATCGTCCTTCCTTCATATCCTTTTGACTTGATTCTTCAAATAGAAAATCGCGTTTAGTTGAAAAGCACATGGTTTTCACGGTGAAAGAAAAAAATCCGATTGAACAAATAGTATCGAAGTTTTTTTTCCTAAGAATTTGGTAACCAAAAAATTAAAAAAAAAATAAAAAAATAAATTAAAAAAATAAGTTCCAGTGAAGAAAATGTGTAAAATCTTGTGTGTGTCTGTGTAAAATAGTCCCCATGTTCCTCACGTTTTGTATCCATTTTCCGGTTTAATTCCCTTTCCGGTCTATGGACATCCATGCGGAGAAAGAACGACATGTGTCTTCGAAATAATTGTGTTAACAGGACAGGGCGTACCTTTCCTCCTTATAATAAATAATTGAAAGAAAAAAAAAATAATAAAAGAAAATTAGCAGGACATGTCTCAAGTTTTAGCTCAGGGCAGGCTTCACATCATCCTCCACATAGCCCTTTTAACCGATAGTGCCTCCATATAATTATTGTCGTCCTTTGACGCCAATAACCTCAATAAAAAAATACGAAGACATTAGGCATCCATCCATCCATTTGACATGATGCTGCCATGGGAGGTCTTCCACTTTGCTGATGAAATAGATTTTTAACTGATTGATGGGTACTCCTGGCGAACAGATGTGGATTGCCAGGCTGGCATGGTGGAGTGGATCGCAATGACACACTTCTAACAATTGTTCCATATTAATTTAATAAAAAAAAAAAACGAACACACAATATGGCATTCTGGCCAAGGAAGGACACCTATGGTTGCATGTACCTCTACCCACCTCTACTTGGCTCTACTCTCAGATATGTCATAACCTCATAAAACATAATTTTAAAAAATTAAAAAAAAAAAAATATCCAAATATTACCAAGAATAATGTTATCACTTTAATTTATACACCCGAAGAAAAATGTTCGTTGAATAGTTAAAAAATATCAAAAAATTAAATTTATTTTTTTTATTGAAAAAGAAAAAAAATTGTGTGGAGACTTTTTTACAAAGTGGAGACTTTTTTTACAAATTGGAGACTTTTTTTTGTAAAGTGGAGACTCTTTCCAAACAAATAAAAAATAGTATGGAGAATTATTTCCCCATCATAAACCAAATTTGCGGATTTTTTATTGAAAATCTAAAAAAAAATTGTGTGGAGACTTTTTTTACAAAGTGGAGACTTTTTCTAAACCAATAAAATACAATGTGGATAATTTTTTTCACATTATAAATCGAATTTGGGGATTTTTTATTGAAAAATGTGAAAAAAAAATGAGAATTTTTTCAAAGTGGAGATGTTTTCTGAAGCTATGAAATACAATGTGGAGAAATATTTTTTTACAGAGTGGAGACTTATTTTAAACTAGAAATAAACAACGTGGAGAATTATTTTCCCATTATAAATCGAATTTGCGGATTTTTTTTATTGAAAATGTAAAAAAAATTGTTTGGAGACTTTTTTTGCAAAGTGGAGACTTTTTCTGAGCCCTAGAAAAATATTGAGAAAAATTATTTTCCCATCATTGGCTAAATTTGGTGATTTTTTTCCATTTAAACAATGTGTGTGGAGACTTTTTACACAGTGGAGACTTATTCTAAAGCAGAAAAATACAATGTGTAGAAATATTTTCGCTTTATAAGTCGAATTTTGCCATTATTTTCACGTGTAAAAATAAAAAAAATATGTGGAGACATTTTTTGTAAAGTGGAGACTTATTCTATACCAATAAAATACTATGTGAGGAATTATTTTCTCATTGCAAATCGAATTTGGTAAATTTTTTCATTTGAAAAAAAAAATAAATAAAATGTGTGGAGACTTTTTTTTACAAATTGGAGACTTTTTAAAATAAAAAAATTCAATGTGGAGAATTATGTTCGCATTATAAGTCGCATAGGCAATTTTTTTTATTTAAAAAAAAATTGTGTGGAGACTTTTTTTTACAAAGTGGAGGAGACTTTTTAAATCGAAAAAATACCATGTGGAGAATTATTTGCGCTTTATAAGTCGAATTTAGCCATATTTATTTGAACAAATAAAAAAAATTGTGTGGAGACTTTTTTTTACAAATTGGAGACTTATTCTAAACCAGAAAAATACAATGTAGAGAATTATTTTCCCATTATAAATCGATTTTGGCAATTTTTTTCACTTGTAGCAATAAAAAAATTGCGTGGAGACTTTTTTTGTAAAGTGGTGATTTTTTCTAAACCAATAAAAAATAATGTGATAAATATTTTCCCATTATAAATCGAATTTGGCAATTTTTTTCATTAGAAAAAATAAAAAAAATGTGTGGAGACTTTTTTTTGTAAATTGGAGACTTATTCTATACCAATAAAATACAATGTGGAGAAATATTTTGCCATCATAAACCAAATTTGTGGATTTTTGTTTATTGCAAAATTAAAAAAAAAATTGTGTGGAGATTTTTTTTACAAAGTGGAGACTTTTTCTAAACCAATAAAATACAATGAGGAGAAATATTTCCCCATCATAAATTAAATTTGGGGATTTTTTATTTGAAAATATAAAAAAAAGTCTGTGAACGTTGTTTTACAAAGTGGAGACTTTTTCTAAACTAATAAAAAAAGTGGAGACTTTTTCTAAACTAATATAATACAATGTGGAGAATTATTTTTCCATTTTAAAACGAATTTGGCTATTTTTTCTTTTGAAAAAATAAAAAAAAATGTGTGGAGACTTTTTTTACAAAGTGGAGAATTTTTCCAAACCAATAAAAAATAATGTGGAGAAACATTTTCCTATCATAAATCGAATATGGCAATTTTTTCATTAAAAAATAATTAAAAAATGTGTGGAGACTTTTATGCAAAGTGGAGATTTTCCCATTTAAATAGAATTTGCGGATTTTTTTATTTAAAAATGTAAAAAAAAATTGTGTGGAGACATTTTTATAAAGTGGAGACTTTTTAAATAAAAAAATATGTGGAGAATTTTTTTCTAATATAAATCGAATTTGGTAATTTTTTCATTTGAAAAAATACAAAAAATGTGTGGAGACTTTTTCTGAGCCCTAGAAAAATATTGAGAAATATTATTTTCACATCATTGGCTAAATTTTGTGATTTTTTCCCATTAGAATTGAAAAAAAAATTGTGGAGACTTCTTTTTTGCACAGTGGAGACTTTTTCTGAGCCTTAGCAAAATATTGAGAACAATTTTTTTTACCATCATATATACAATCTAGTTATTTTTTTATTGAAAATTAAAAAAAAAATTGTGTGGAGACTTTTTTGTGGAGACTTACTTTATACCAATAAAATGCAATATGGAGAATTATTTTCCATTATAAATCGAATTTGGCCATTTTTTGATTTGAAAAAATAAAAAAATGTGTGGAGACTTTTTCTGAGCCCTAGAAAAATATTGAGAAATATTATTTTCACATCATTGGCTAAATTTTGTGATTTTTTCCCATTAGAATTGAAAAAAAAATTGTGGAGACTTCTTTTTTGCACAGTGGAGACTTTTTCTGAGCCTTAGCAAAATATTGAGAACAATTTTTTTTACCATCATATATACAATCTAGTTATTTTTTTATTGAAAATTAAAAAAAAAATTGTGTGGAGACTTTTTTGTGGAGACTTACTTTATACCAATAAAATGCAATATGGAGAATTATTTTCCATTATAAATCGAATTTGGCCATTTTTTGATTTGAAAAAATAAAAAAATGTGTGGAGACTTTTTTGTAAAGTGGAGACTATTTCTGAACCTTAGAAAAATATTGTGAGATATTATTTTCCCATCATTCGCTCTATTTGGTGATTTTTTCCAATTGAGCATTTAGAAAATAATGTGTGTAGAGATTTTTTTCAAAAGTGGAGACTTTTTCTGAGACAAAAAAAATTATCCCAAGCATTAAGGTGTAGACTTATTGTATTTATTGTTGTAAAACTTAATAACGAACGAATATTAATCCTTTGTTTGAACTTCATTCGAACAAAGGATCTCCAACAACAACAAAAGTGTTGTTAAATCCAGAATTATTGGATCAAGTGTTGAATTCGAAAACAAAGCAGCACTACTCTCCAAACAAGGCGGCTTAAATTTATTTATAAAACTTGAAAACTGGATTTTTGTTGTTGTTCCGCGTCTTTGTTGTTGTTAGTGTTTTCGATTCGATTTTGTTGCTGTTGCTTTGCAAAAAAGTTTGAAGCAAAAAAAAAAAAAAACACATTGATGTCCACTTTTCAGTTAAGTTGTTTACTGTCTTATTTGTTTTTGCTGTTTTAATATAATCGCTATTGTTGTTGTTATCATTTTTTTAAAAATATTTATTAATAACAATTTTTAAATATTAAAAAAAAAATATTTACATTTTTTTTTTAAATTTAAAAAAATTAAAAAAAAATATTTAAAATTTAAAAAAAATATTTAAAAAAATGTTGAAAAAATATATAAAATTTAAAAAAAAATATTTAAAATTTTTTTCAAATTCAATCATTTTATTAATTTTACTTCTCTTCTTCATTTCCATTGCAGCTAAATGGAGGCATCTGATGGATCGCCCCCACCATCATTGTGTATGGTACGAGCCGCTGAATTATTTCCCAAACCACAAATGGAGAAAGAAGACACAGAATTAAAAGTCCCATTTCAGGAGCGTAAGTCTTAACCTCAAAATTCTCAAAGTTCCGCAAAATCAAATTAATTTCTCTCATTTCTCTCTCCCTCACTTTTCCAGTTGCTGGCGAGTCTGTCAAATATTTGGGACGCACCGATGATGGCATATTGGCCCTATCCAATTATCGCCTTTATCTACAGAAAACCTCAACCAATGTTGAAACGTCCATACCGCTGGGCCTAATCGAATCGGCCCAAAGCCGTGATTTGTTTCATCTGATTGTCTACTGTAAGGATGCCAGCACAGTGAAGTGTTCATTTGAGACGGCCGAACAGTGTACGGAATGGCAAAGACGGATACAGATGTCGGTGGGTGTCCCCGAGACACTGGAATCTATATTCGCTTTTCCATTCTGTTCATGGGCATGTGATACGTTAAATGGAGGTGGTGGTGGCGGCGGAGGTGGAGGAGGAGGGTGTGTGGGTGGCAGTCAAACATTTAATAGCGCTCTGAATTCAAATGCCGATAACAATGGCGGCTATAATCCCTATTTGGCCCTGGACACCAATGAGCGATTACAAAAGTGTAGCTATCGCTATGAAGATGATTTTATGCGTGAAGTTGAACGTTTGGGTTTCGATTTAAATGGTCCCTGGCGTATTTCACGAGCCAATGAAGATTTCAAGCTATGTCCCTCATATCCACCCAAACTTTTAGTACCCTGTTGCATTTCCGATGAAACGCTGAATAATGTGGCCAATTTTAGAGGTTCAAGGCGGCTGCCCGCCGTGGTGTGGCGTCATCGTAAATCGGGAGCTGTTATTGCCAGATGCAGTCAACCGGAAGTGGGTTGGCTTGGTTGGCGCAATACCAAAGACGAACAGCTGCTAAAGGCTTTGGCCGATGCCTGTGCCTTCGATCGCGGCGAACAAATGCGTCAATTTGCCAATACATCGCAATCAGCACAAAGTATACAGATACCGTCGGGTGATAGTTCACCCTCCAGTCCGGATGGTAGTCATGAAGAGGTGGCCCTGGATGAAGTGAGAGTAAGTTGTGGTACCATAAAGAAAATCCTACCAAAAACTTAAAAATTTTCTCTTTTTTTTAGAAAATTCTCATAGTGGATGCCCGCAGCTATACATCGGCCGTAACAAATAGGGCCCGTGGTGGTGGCTGTGAATGTATTGAGTACTATCCATGTGCCGAAATAGAATTTATGAATTTGGGCAATATACATGTTATACGGAAAAGTTTTCATGCCCTACGGCAGCTGTGTGCTTCGCCGCCAGATGTTCCAAAGTAGGTTAAACTCTCTCCCTTTCGTTCTCTATGATAATCTATGTTCCTTCATTTCTTTACAGTTGGTTGGGCCTCTTGGAGAAGACCATGTGGTTACAACATTTATCTGGTCTGTTGGCTGCCTCCATGACCGTGTGTCATGCCATCGAGAAAAAAGGACGACCCGTATTGGTTCATTGTTCAGATGGTTGGGATCGCACCCCACAAATTGTGGCCACTGCACAGCTGTGTTTGGATCCATATTATAGGACAATAGAGGTAAAAAAGAAATAAAAATTAATATTTAAATTGAGGGACAATTTGCCTTGATTTTAAAGTTAACCTAAAAAATCAATGGAACTTTTTTATAATCAATTTGTTTCTATGGTTTTCCATGGTATACATTATAGCTACAGATTTCTGGCAAATGAAAACCTATAGTGAAATTTGATTTAGAATATATTCTTCTTCGATGTCAACCCCATTAAACCATGTTTAGTGGAACAAATTGGCTCGATTCAGATATTAACCTAAAAAATCAATTAATTTTTTTTCTGTCAATTTGTTACTGAGATTTTTCGGGGTATACATTATAGTTACGGATTTCATGCAGATGAAGACCTGTAGTGAAATTTGACATAGAATATGTTCTACTTTGATGCCAAGCTCGCTAAACGATGTTTTGGGGGAAAAATTGGCTATTTTCAGAAATTAACCTAAAAAATCAATGGAATTTTCTTCTATCAATTTGTTTTTGCAATTTTTCGGGGTATACATTATAGCTGCGGATTTCATGCAGATGAAGATCTATAATGAAATTTGATCTAGAATATATTCTGCTTTGATGCCAACCCCGTTAAACCATATTTAGAGGGACAAATTTGCTCGATTCAAAAATTAACCTAAAAAAATCCATGCAATTTTTTATAATAAATTTGTTAGTGTAATTTTTTGGGGTATACATTATAGTTACGGATTTCATGCAGATGAAGACCTATAATGAAATTTGATCTAGAATATATTCTGCTTTGATGCCAACCCCGTTAAACCCTGTTTGGGAAACAAATTGACTCAATTCCAAAAATAACATAAATTTATTTATAATTTTTTTTAACCAATCATTTCTTCTTTTCCCCAAGGGTTTCCGAGTTTTGGTTGAACGTGAATGGCTTAGTTATGGCCACAAATTTGCCGATCGTTGTGGCCATGGCCCCGGCTCCGAAGAACTCAATGAGCGTTGTCCAGTATTTCTGCAATGGCTGGATTTGGTACATCAAATCCATAAACAATTTAGTTGCAGTTTTGAGTTTAGTATGGGTTATTTGGTAAGTTATTTGTTTTTTTTTTTAATTATTTTCATTCATTTAATTCGAAATAATTTATCTTACAGATCAAATTAGCCCAACACTCTCACTCTGGCCTTTTCGGCAATTTCCTGTGCAATACGTTAAAGGAACGTTTGGAAAATTCCGTCTTCGAACGTACCTTCAGTGTTTGGTCGTTTCTGTCCAGTCCCATTTATCGTAATCCCCTGTACAAGCCACAACGAGATAAAGTATTATGGCCGGCTCATAATGTCCGAGATTTATCACTGTGGACAGAGGTGTATTTGGGCAGTTTGGGTGGCAATCAAAATTCCATTGATTTTCCAAATTATATTAATGACACGATGATGGGTTCCATAAGTATGATGAAAATTTCTTTTTGCATTGGAATTTGAAATGTTTGATAACATTGAGTATTTTATTTTTAGGTTCTATGTCCAAAACGAGATCATATGGTGACCTAATAACAGCTGGTTTCATACAGAATAGTATGTCGAGACGCTCAAGTGATCCAAACATGACAGTAGATCCAAAGTAAGTTTTCTTACAAAAAAAATCTTTTCCAATTCATTTCTTTATTTCTTCTCCTTCCAGTCTAACAATTGGTTCAAATTCGGAAAATAATTCCATTGCCGATTTACAATCTGACGAGCGTGAAGAATCACCCGATATATTAGCGAATTTAATACACGATACAACCCGCAAATTGGAAAACTTAACAAATGAACTGAACAATCATGACAATGATGATTTTAAATTGGCTTCGAATGCCGGGAAAAATTCCAATGAAATTCCAGTGGTGGAATGCTGTGAAAGTAAAAAGAATGAAATCACAACATCAAATGGCAGCATCTATTCAAGTCAACAGGAACCCGAACAACAACACCAACAACATACTGGCTGTGATAATGAGACTACAAAAATAGCAACAACAACAACCAACAATACACAACAATGCCCATCATCGCCCCCAATACCTACGGGAAAAACGAAAATTGTGGTCAAGGAAATTGTCACGAAGGCAGAGAATGATGTTACCGACTCCTCCGTGTCCAATGGTTTAAATGGCATTCAACGAAGTTCCAATGGGATTACCATTGAAAAACACACCTCTATGGGTTTGGATCTAATGATGAAAAGTGTTGCCATGGATGGTAAGAAATTCCCAAAGGATTCTAATTTTTGTTGCACTTTCTAATTCCCCCACCCACCCTACTTCCAGATACTTCATGTAACAACAGCTTGGAAACATCCTACAATGGTTCGACCATTGAGTCACTGAAAAACAATAGTAAAACAGCTGATGATTCTCATAATTTATGGCATGGTTCCATTAACACTAGTACTGATACCTTGGTACCCTTGGCGGAAACTAAAATACAAAATGGTAATGGCAATTGTGATAGCATCGATGGCGGTGGTGGAGACAGGCAAGATTCTCCCAAAAAGCAAAATCTTGATGGCCAAAGCACAAAAAATGGCGATGAAGAGAAGTCAGCAAAGCAGAGTAGCAGCAGCACAACATGTAAAATTTTGCCAAAAGTTCATAGCAACAATAATATTGCATGCCGACCAAATCAGTTGTCCACCAGTATCATCAACAACAGCAATAATAATCTACATAAAACAACAACAACAGTAGATGACACGTCGACCCACACAACTAGTGGCAGTGACAATAAACCATCAAGTCGTCTGGTCTCCGCTCCTGCTGCTCTGGCTGATGGTCTAATGGAGGAAAGCATACTCATCTTACCTGAACATAGGAAATTAGAAATTTCCATTAGTGGCAAATGTGAAACAATTGCTGCTAATACAACTACCTCGTCAGGTTCGCAGCAAACGGCTGCTACAGCCACAGCTGCTGCTGCTCCACTTCAATGTTCTTCATCATCAGCATTACCAGCCACACCAACAACCTCAGCATCAACAATGTCCGCTTACAATCTACCTTATAGTACGGTACTAACTAATACTGCAATACCTAATACAACCACAGCTGCCTCTAGCCAAAGAAGAAGACGTACATCGTCATCAAATTCGGGTTTTATTGCCAAACAAGTAAATGGAAGGTATGACAAATTTTCCCATTTATATTGTGATTTCAATTCCAAAATCATTGTCTATTTTTCCCCCGTTTTATCCACAGTTACATTTCACGCTTCTCATTGCCTGGCGGTGGTGTACGATCTTTGCCTATGACACCACCTGGTTTGACTGAACGACAACAAGTTACTATTTCCTGCCCTGATGGTTTAGCACATGCTTTAAGTGAAGAAAATATAAGACTACAGCAAATTGTACATGAACATAAGGTAATGTATATAATGGTAATGAGGATATTACAAAAAAAAAAAAGAAAGAGAGAGAGAGAAAACATTTGATATTTAAATCATAAAATCAATTTTTGTTTCATCTTATTTCGATAGAAAATTTCATATCTACTGAGTTTATTTGTTCGGTGACCTACAGTGAAAGTTGATGTAGAATAAGTTCTCCTCGAAGGCCATCCCCCTAAAATGAAGTATAAAGGGACAAATGGACTCAATTTGGAAACCAATGAAAATAACCTCAAAATTTCCATGTTTTTTCCAAAATTTGTTAGTGGATATTTTAATGATATATATTATAGCCACATGTTTTATGTGGTCGGCGACCTATAGTGAAATTCGGTGTAGATTAAGTTCTCCTCGCAAACCTTCTCCCTAAAATGAAGAATAAAGGGCCAAATGGACTCAATTTGGAAACCAATGAAAATAACCTAAAAAATTCCATGATTTTTTCTTTCAAAATTTGTTAGTGGATATTTTAATGATATATATTATAGCCACAGGTTTTATGTGGTCGGTGGCCTATAGTGAAATTTAATGTAGAATAAGTTCTCCTCGAAGCCCATCCCCCAAAAATGAAGTTTAAATTAGCAAATGGACTCAATTTGGAAACCAATGAAAATAACCTAAAAATTCCATTTTTTTTTCTTTCAAAATTTGTTAGTGGATATTTTAATGGTATATATTATAGCCACATGCTTTATGTGGTCGGAGGCCTGTAGTGAAATTTTATGTAGAATAAGTTATCCTCGAAGGCCATCCCCCTAAAATGACGTATACCAGGGCAAATGGGCTCAATTTGGAAAATCCAATGAAATAACCTAAAAATGCAGTAGTATAATTTGTTACATGTATTTTTAATGGTATACGTTATATTTACGGACTTCTCGCGGAAGAAGACCAATAGTAAAATTCGATATAGAATATATTCTTCTTGGATGTCAACCCCATTTAACCATGTTTTATGGGACAAATTGGCCCTATTCTGAAATTAACCTTAAAAATCAATGAAATTTTTTATAATCAATTTGTTACTGTAATTTTTCATGGTATACATTATTATAGATTTCTTGCAGATGAAGACCTATAGTGAAATTTGATATAGAATATATTCCTATTGGATGCCAAACCCCTTAAACGATGTTTAGTGGGACAAATAGGCTCAGTTCTGAAATTAAACTAAAAAATGAATTGATTTTTTTATATTCAACTTGTTACGAAAATTTTTCATGGTATACGTTATAGCTACAGATTTCTTGCTAATGAAATTCGACATAGAATATTTCCCCCTCAGGCAGCAACCCCATTAAATGAGGTTATGTTGGTCAAATTGCTCCGAATGTGAAATTAACCTAAAAATCGATTACTTTTTTATAAGCAATTTGTTACCTATTGTTTTTCTGGTATATATTCCAGTTGCACATTTCTTTTTGAAGAAGATCCATAGTCAAATTTGACAAATAATATTTCTCCTCAGATACTATCCCGTAAAAATAGGTCCAATTGCTTAGAATGAAATACTAACCCAGCCTCTCTTTTCATTTATACATTTCAATTTATATTACTTTCTGTTTCTTTTCCAGATGCGCGAAGACGTTTTACTACGCGAATTGCACGATATGCGCATGGCATTGCTAAAGAAAATATGTCCAAATTGCAATAATGCAAATGCATCGACCAACACTGATGAACAGGTGAATATCACATAACTTAAGCAAAGTCCTTAACAATTAAGAACTACACTAAGAAAAATGAAATGCTTAGACGAAAAAGAAAAAAAACAATATTTAGGTAAAACTATTTTAATTCTAATCTATCAAACAAATATATAACAAATAATACCCCCCACCTTAGAAAGAAGCAAAGACGATTTGTAGATAATATTTGAAATGATTTTAAAATTTCTGTTGCTCTCCCCTGGTTATTTTTCATTATCTTCTTTGGCATTAGTTACTAAATGTGATTTTTCTATTAATTATTATTATTTAAATTATTTGTTTGTTTAAAAAAAATAAATTGCAAAATTTTGTTTGTTGTACATAAGTTAGGTGAAATTAAATTAATAATTTTTAAGGTCAATGAGCTATGACAAAGAAACACACATTTTATGATTGTTGTAATAATTAACCACAAAACAACATCATCAACAACAGAAAATGCATTCTGATAATACAACAAATCTACTACTACCACCACATAGAAGACGACGACATTATTGTGCTCCAACGTTGCCGTTGTACCACCAACAACAACATCGACAACAATTTCGCAAACATTATTCCCACCGTCGTAAACGTCGTCATCATCAACGTATTTTCTCTAGAAGTCATTTATCCTCAACTGCCACCATAATTATTGAAAACTTTTATGGTAATAATGGGGAAAATTATGATTGTGATGACAATTTGGATTATGAATTGGAAGAAGATGATGATGAATATAGTGATAGTAGTAATGGTGATAATGATGATGATATTTATTCAGGGGTTAGTTTTTTTCTTTTCTTTTATTTTGTTCTTGTTTTATTAAAATTTTTATTTTGTTTTTATTTTTAAATTTGGCCCAAGCTTTTTACTTAATGTGTCTTCTTGTCTTTTGCTTTGCATGGAGCTTGAATTATTAGTTTTGTTGTTACATAAATTTGCTGGCATGTAAGAGAGCCGAACTATAAGGCCCTATACTGACTGGTCTATGACTGAATATGCGAAATATGAAGGAAATAAAATTAATTACAAGTTTTTAATTTGTTAGTGGTATTTTTCTCTGTATATATTACAGCTACCGTTTACTTTTGTAAGAAGACCTATAATGAAATTTGATGTAGAACAAATTCTTCCCTCTCCATACAATTAGATTTTATGGCACAAATTGGTCCAATGCAGAAATCAATGGAAGTAAACTACATTTTTTTACATTTTATTTGTATACAGAATTTGTTTTTGGTACTTTCATAGGTATTGGGTATAGCTACAGATTTCTTGTTGTCGACGACCTATAGTGAAATTTGATGTAGAACATACACTTGTCTGGCACCCTCTCCCTAAAATTTGATTTTATGGCACGAATCGGCTCGATTCATAAATCAATTAAAATAACCTAAAAATGTTACCTTTTATTTGTATACAGAATTTGTTTGTGGTATTTTCCATGGTATATATTAGAGCTACAGCTTACTTGTAGTCGACGACCTATAGTGAAATTTGATGTAGAACAAATTCTTCTCTGACACCCTCTCCCAAAAATTAGATTTTATGGCACAAATTTGTCCGATTCAGATATCAATGAAAATAACCAAACATTTTTATTTTGTTTTGTATACAGAATTAATTTGTGGTGTTTTCATAGGTATAAGGTATAGCTACAGCTTTATTGGACTCGGTGACATATAGTGAATTTCGATGAAGAACATATTCTTCTCTGGCACCTTTTCCTTAAAATTAGATTGTATGGCACAAATTGGCCCGGTTCTGAAATTAATGAAAATAATCTAAAAAGTTTACTTTTTATTTGTATATAGAATTTGTTTATGGTGTTTTCATAGGTGTAGGGTATAGCCACAGCTTTCTTGGACTCGGTGACCTATAGTGAAATTCGATGAAGAACAAATTCTTCTCTGACACCCTCTCCCTAAAATTAGATTTTATTGCACAAATTGGTGCGAATCAGAAATCAATGAAAATAACCTAAAAAGTTTACATTTTATTTGTATCAGAATTTGTTTGTGGTGTTTTCATAGGTAGAGGGTATAGCTACAGATTTCTTGTTGTCGGTGACCTATAGTGAAATTCGATGAAGAACAAATTCTTCTCTGACACCCTCTCCCTAAAATTAGATTTTATGGCACAAATTGGTCCGATTCAGAAATTAATGAAAATAATCTAAAAAGTTAACTTTTTATTTGTATATAGTATTTGTTTTTGGTGTTTTCATAGGTGTAGGGTATAGCTACATCTTTCTTGGATTCGGTTACCTATAGTGAAATTCGATGAAGAACATATTCTTCTCTGGCACCCTCTCCCTAAAATTAGATTTTAAGGCACAAATTGGTCCGAATCAGAAATCAATGAAAATAACCTAAAAAGTTTTCTTTTTATTTGTATAAGAATTTGTTTGTGGTGTTTTCATAGATAGAGGGTATAGGTACAGATTTCTTGTTGTCGGTGACCTATAGTGAAATTTGATATAGAACAAATTCTTCTCTGACATCCTCTCCCTAAAATTAGATTTTAAGGCACAAATTGGTCCGAATCAGAAATCAATGAAAATAACCTAAAAAGTTTACTTTTTATTTGTATAAGAATTTGTTTGTGGTGTTTTCATAGATAGAGGGTATAGCTACAGATTTCTTGTTGTCGGTGACCTATAGTGAAATTTGATGTAGAATAAATACTTCTTTGGCACCCTCTCCCTAAAATTAGATTTTAAGGCACAAATTGGTCTGATTCAGAAATCAATGAAATTAATCAAAAAAGCAAATAGGCTCTTGTTGGAACTCCATTCCAATTCCATAATTATTAATGTTGAGTTTTTTTATTAGTTTGAAATTATATGAATATTTATTAGGTTAGGAATAATTTTTTTGTTAGTTTTTACGTCTAAGCCCATAAATTAAAATGTAAGGTTATGTTTATTAAATTTTTTTTCAGGAAGCTTTTTTGTAAACTTAATAATGCTTTAAAAAAATTAAAAATTGAACAGAATAACAGCATGAAATCGTCTTTTATGTAAATAAATTTTAATTTATTTTTTGTTTTTAAAACAACAACTAAAATCTATTCGTTGTTCTCTAACAAAACTCTATATAAATATTTTGTTTCCTATTTCTATGTATTTCTTTTTCGGTTATCGTTCGATGGCCTATCGCATGATCAATTGGTGTTCCCCCCTGTGCAATATTCAAAAACACAACACAATTAGTGTTCAGCACTGGATAATGTAGAAAATGCTTCGATTTGCTCATGGGAAGCTGTTGAAGATCGCAGTGCTAGTGGTCCCTCGTCCTGTGCCACAACCAGTTCCTCAATGCAACCAAATACCACAAGTGTATTATGGGTACCCGATCATGCCGTTTCACGTTGTACCAGCTGTCAGACGGAATTTTGGCTGGGTCGAAGGAAACATCATTGCCGGTGCGCATTGTAAATTTGTTTTGTTTTCTACTTTCATTCTTTCTCAATTGTTCACTTAGCGTTTTTTCTCTTTTGTTGTTTTTTCTCTTAGTTTTTAGTTTGTTAATGTTTTTCTTGTTCTCCTATTTTTTTGTAATGTAACTAATTTCTGTTTTATGTCTTACTATTTTATTTGTAGTTTAATTTCCCAAGTGGCTGAATAAAATTTTTGGAAGCTTGCAACTTCCTAATAATTTTATTTTTCCCTAAAATTTTATGTTCTTTTGTTTTAACACCACCTTAACAACTTTTCATTGTTAATAACCATTGTCATTTATTAGTTATCAGTTCGCAAATTTTCGTATTTACTTTTTTAACCATAAGTCAATGATTTTAAATACATTAAAATCACATACATACATGCACATGCATACCCTCTATTACATACAATAAAGCACACACATAATTTGTTTGTTATTTAATACAATTTTTTATAGGGAACAAAAATAATGGTTTGTACATATTTCCACAAGTATCACTTAATTTATATCGGCAAATATTATAGCTACCGATTTCTTGTGGTCGATGACCTATACTGGAATTTGATGTAGAATTTTTTGTTCTCATACATCTTCTGCCTAAAATTACATTTTATGCCTCAAATCGGCCCGATTCGGAAATTGATGAATTAAGCGAAAAATTGCTCCTTTTTAATACCCAAATTGTTAATGGTATTTTTACCGGCAAATATTATAGCTACAAAATGCATGTGGTCGGTGACCTATGGTGAAATTTGATGTAGAACAAATTCTTCTCGGATACCCTCGTCATAAAATAACAAATTGAGGGACAAATTGCCTCGATTCAGAAATTCACTAAATAACCTTAAAATTTTTCCCTTTTAAAGATACCCAAATTGTTAATGGTATTTTCTTAAGTATATATTATAACTACAAACTTCTTTTGGTCCCTGACCTATGGTGAAATTTGATGTAGAATATTATCTCTTCGAACACCTTCTCTCTAAAATTAGATTTTAGGGCACAAATTGCTACGATTCGGAAATCAATAAAAAATAACCTAAAAACTTTACTTTTTATTTGTATACAGAATTTGACATGTTCTTAAGTATATACTATAGTTAGCAATTTCTTGTGGTCGGTGACCTATAGTGAAATTTGATGAAGAACAAATTCTTCTCTGACACCCTCTCCCTAAAATTACATTTTATGCCTCAAATGGATCTGATTCATAGATCAATGGAAATAATCTAAAAAGTTTACCTTTTATTTTTGTACAGAATTTGTTTGTGGTATTTTACTAGGTATATATTATATCTACAGATTACTTGTGGTCGACGACCTATAGTGAAATTTGATGTACAACAAATTCTTCTATAACACCCTCTCCCTAAAATTAAATTTTAAGGCACAAATTGGTCCTGAAATCAATGAAAATAATCAAAAAGGTTTACTTTTTATTTGTATACAGAATTTGTTTGTGGTGTTTTCATAGGTATAGGGTATAGCTATAGCTTTCTTGGACTCGGTGACCTATAGTGAAATTCGATGCTGAATACATTATTTTCAGACATCATTCCCCAAAAATAAAATTTTGTAGGACAAATCGGCACGATTCAGTAATCAATGAAAGTAACTTCAAATTTTTAAATTTTATTTGTATATAGAATTTGTTTGTGGTGTTTTCATAGGTATATGGTACCTATATGGTCTTGTGGTCGGTGACCCATGGTGAAATTTAATGTAGAACAAATTCATCTCTGATACCCTTTCCCTAAAATTAGATTTCATGGCACAAATTGGTCCGATTCGGAAATCAATACAAGAAACCTAAAAATTTATAATTTGTTGAATTTTTATTGTAAAAGTTCTACTAGTATTATGTTGGTCCATATTACACCTAGAGATTTCTTTTGTTCGGTGACCTATAGTGAAATTTGCTCAGGAACATTTTCTACGTGAACATCGACTCCCGCAAATGGTGTTTTGGTGGAACAAATTGGCTCAATTCGGAAAATCCATGTAATTAATCTAAAAATGTAATTTTTGAATTTTTATTACGAACATTTTACTAGTATTATGTTGGTCCATATTACACCTAGAGATTTCATTTGGTCGGTGAACTATAGTAAAATTTGCTGGAGAATATCTTCTCCTTTAATGGCAGCTCCCTAAAATAAAGTTTTGAAGGACAAATAACCTCAAATCGAAAATCCGTAAAATTAACCAATAAAAAATATTATTGAATTTTTATTGCTAAAGTTCTACTAGTATTATGTTGGTCCCTATTATACCTAGAGTTCTCGTTTGGCCGGTGACCTATAGTGAAATTTTCTGGAGAATATTTTATTCTTTAACAACCAATCCCTAAAATTAAGTCTTGGGGGTAAATTCGATCAATTTGAAATTATCCCCTGCTGCATTCATTGATATGCAATTCCCTCTTTATGTTTGATACAATTCCCCTCAAACCATTATTGTTTCTCACTGCATGTCTCTCTTCATAATCCATTGACACGCCTCAAAAAAAATATTTTTTTTTACCCTAATTCTTTGTTTTTTTTTTCTTCATTCAGATCATGCGGACAAATTTTCTGTGCTGATTGTTCCGAGTACTGGGCACCGCTGCCAGATGCCAAGCTATTTAGTCCGGTGCGTTTGTGTGGACCATGTCATGCGGCCACCACACGCACCATGCAACAGGTTAATAGTGAAATGGGGGCGTCAGCAGCGACAACGCCACCAACACCTATATCTGTTGCAGCAGCAGCAGCTGCAACAGTAGCAATAAGCAACAATAGTACCAATATGCATTTGCAACAGAACGCCACAAAACCAGCAGCAACATCAAAGGCTTAAGTTATGGAAAACTCCCTCACCTCCCAAAAAAAAAAAAAAAAAAAAAAAAAACGGAGAGAATGGATGACCTCCAAAAAAAAAAAATTGAATAGCAAGCAGGAAAATGTTATGGAATCTTAGGAGAAAATCTAAATAAAATAAGTTAACACACTCACTGAGATGATGATGATGATGTTGGTCGAGATTGAAAATCACCCATAATTATCATTAAATGGAAAGCAAATAAAACTAAACTAATTAATAAATATTATTACCATAAATATTAACATGTCATATAAAAAAAATTCTCCAAAAATTTCCCCCAAACATCTCTAGCAAAAAATTCCCAGCCTTTTAACTAAAAATTCCCCTCTAATCTAACCAAATCCTTTTTAACCCTTTCCCCTCTATAACTCTCTCTCTATCTCTTGATAATAACCAAAACATTGTTACTTAGTAAAAAAAATAACAATTAAAATTCAACACACAATTATTGTATATGAAATTGATTTTTTTTTTGAAAATAACTGAGAAACCAGCAAACTGAACTGATATAGAAAAAAAACAACAAAAATATATATATTACAAAAAATAAAATGTCATTTTATTAAACAACAATTGTATAAAGAACAAGCATATATATATTTAATTAATTAATTTAAAAACCAAACTGTTATGTTTAAAATTAATGCAAAAAAAAATATTTAAAAAAATGCAAATACACAAAATAGCAAATAAAAGAAATTGAAAAAAAATTAAAATGCATTCTACTGAAAAAAATGAATTCAGTATATACGCCCATTATATTATTATATTAAAAACATATAACCTAGTAACGGTGTCGATTTCGAAATTTAAGTAACATTTTTATTTGTATTTTGTTGTAATTCTTATTTTATTTTCTTCTTTTTTTAATTTTAATTCTGTGATAAAAATTTTATCGATGTTGAAACAAAAACAAACAAAATTTTGGGTTATTATTTTTACTCGAAAAAAGAAAATATTGTAAAGGTCATGGGAAGAGAATGATTTTAAAATACATTTTTCCATCTCCTAATGTAAAATCCTCTGTATGTAGATTTTAATGTATGTATCAAAAGTTTTGCTACCATTTTCTTGGTATATATTATAGCTATGGATTTCTTGTGTTCGATGACCTATAGTGATAACTGATGTAGAACATTTTCTCCTAGAACTGCTTCCCCCTAAAATTATTTTTTCTGGGTCTAAAAGGCTCGATTCGGAAATCCATGAAATTAACCTAAAAAGTTTCTTTTTTTGTGTATACAAACATTTTGTTAATGGGCATTTTTTCATGGTATTTTTTACTCCTACAATTTTCTTGTGGTCGATGACCTATAGTGAAATTTGATGTAGAATATTTTGTTCTCAGATATCTTCTACCTAAAATTACGTTATCCCCTTCAAACGGGCTCAATTCGGAAATCCATGAAATTAACCTAAAAAGTTTCCTTTTTTTGTATACACACATTTTGTTAATCGACATATTCAGGGTATTTTTTACCCCTACATATTTCTTATAGTCGGTGACCTATACTAGAATTTGATGTAGAATATTTTGTTCTCATACATCTTCTCCCTAAAATTACATTTTATGCCTCAAATCGGGCCGATTTCGAAATTTGCGAATAAAGCGAAAAATGCTCCTTTTTGATAAAAAATTCATGTGTTCAGTGACCTATAATGAAATTTGATGTATAACAAATTCTTCTCGGATAGCATCCTCATAAAACAACAAATTGTGCGACAAATTGCCTCGATTCAGAAATTCACTAAATAACCTTCAATTTTTTCCCTTTTTGATGATACCAAATTGTTAATGGTATTTTCTTAAGTATATATTATAGCTACAAACATCTTTTGGTCGGTGACCTATAGTGGAATTTGATGTAGAATATTTTCTCTTCGAACATCTTCTACCTAAAATTAGATTTTATTGTAGAAATTGGTCCGATTCGGAAATCAAATAATATAACCTTAAAGTTTTCATTTTTAATTGTATACAGAATTTGTTTATGACATTTTCTTAAGTATATACTATAGCTATAAATTTCTTATGGTCGGCGACCCATAGTGAAATTTTATGTAGAACAAATTCTTCTCTGACACCCTCTCCCTAAAATTATATTTTATGGCACAAATTGCTACGATTTAGAAATCAATGAAAATAACCAAAAATGCTTACCTTTTATTTGCGTACAAAATTTATTTGTGGTGTTTCAAAGGTAAACCCTATAGCTACAGATTTCATGTGAAATTCGATGCTGACTACATTCTTCTTGGACACCATTCCCAAAAAAATGAAATTTTGTGCGACAAATCGTCCCGTTTCAGAAATCAATGAAAATAACCTAAAATTTTATTTATATGCTGAATTTGTTTATAGTATTTTCCTAGGTATATAATATAGCTACAGATTTATTGTGTTTGGTGACCTATAGCGAAATTTACTAGAAAATATTTTCTCCTTGGACATCACCCCCCTAAAATGTAATCTTGTGGTACAAATGGCCTAAAATTGAAAATTCATGCAACTAACCTAAAAAATAATTTTTGACTTTTTGTTTACAAAAGTTTTACGATTATTATGTTAGTCCATATTATACCTAGAGATTTCTTTTGGTTGGTGACCTATAGTGAAATTTTCTGGAGAATAAATTTTCTCTTAATACCAACCTCCTAAAATGAAGTCTTGTGGTACAAATGGGCTCAAATCGAAAATCCACCTAATTAACCGAAAATGCCATTTTTGAATTTTTATTATAAATCTTTTACTAGTATTATGTTGGTCCCTATTATACCTAAAGATTTCTTTTGGTCGGTGACCTATAGTGAAATTTACTGGAGAATAAGTTTTCCCTTAACAGCAACCTCCTTAAATGAAGTCCTGTGGTACAAATGGGCTCAAATCAAAAATCCATCAAATTAACCGAAAACGTAATTTTTGTATTTTTATTGCAAAATTTTTCCAGCACTCTTACCTTTTTCTTCTATGTTCTCCCAAGAGATTAAAAAAGTAAACATTCTTCACTTTTTTTTTGTTATCACAAAATTTTTTTGCTTTTTTATTATAATTTACACTCAAGTCCCCCTATATGTTGTATATCCAAATGGTGATAGCAGCAATGGCACATGATAATGTTGACCTCGTTCACATTTGATTATAATCTCAATGAAGGGATAAAAACTTGACACTTGACAGAGTTCAAAATACGGCTGGACATCGAATTTCAATTTATATGTTCCACTATTGAAATCTTTTGCATCCACTAATTGACCAACACGACCATCGGCATTTGTGGCATGGTGTCCTAATTCTTGCCATTCACCATTATCCCGTTGACGATATAGTGTCAAAGGCAAATCGGCCACAGCTTTGCCCAAGGCAGTATCCAAAACGTGACAGGATATTGTGCGACTGTTGCTCGTATTTTGATTCATTGTTTCTGCTTTGAAAGTCTAATGGAAATAAAAACGAAATTCATATTTAAATTGTGGTTTTAAATAAAAAATTTGCTGCATTTTTTTTTTTTTGCACTCACCTCCACTGTCTCCACACGTAAACGAATGCGTTCCCAACCGTTGCTCATTTTGAAATGTTGCTTTTGTTCGTTTTTCGAAAGTGTAATCTCGTTTTTGAGGTTTCTATCTGTTATCTGTTTAACTTTGTAAACATTTTTCTTCTTCTTGCATTTAATAAAAAAAGAAGATTGTCTTTATTTATAATATGTTATAATAACTAATATAACTTTTTTCTCAAAATGCAGTTGTGGTCAATAAAATAGAATAGTAGTAAAAAATATTTTTTTTCACAGACCCTAAGGCGTGTCTTTATTAAAAAATATTTTTTCCATAGACCCTAAGGCATGGTTTTATTTATTGAGAACAAAAATTGATTGTTGTAGACCCTAGGGCTTGGTTTTTTTAAAAAAATATTTTTCCAATGACCCTAAGGCGTGGTTTTATTAAAAAAATATATTTTCCAATGACCCAAGGCGTGGTTTTATTAAAAAAAATATTTTTTTGCATAGAACCTAAGGCGTGGTTTATTAAAAAATATTTTTTTCCATAGAACCTAAGGCGTGGTTTATTAAAAAATATTTTTTTCCATAGATCCTAAGGCGTGGTTTATTAAAAAATATTTTTTTCCATAGAACCTAAGGCGTGGTTTATTAAAAAATATTTTTTTCCATAGAACCTAAGGCGTGGTTTATTAAAAAATATTTTTTTCCATAGAACCTAAGGCGTGGTTTATTAAAAAATATTTTTTTCCATAGAACCTAAGGCGTGGTTTATTAAAAAATATTTTTTTCCATAGAACCTAAGGCGTGGTTTATTAAAAAATATTTTTTTCCATAGATCCTAAGGCGTGGTTTATAAAAAAATATTTTTTTCCATAGAACCTAAGGCGTGGTTTATTAAAAAATATTTTTTTCCATAGAACCTAAGGCGTGGTTTATTAAAAAATATTTTTTTCATAGAACCTAAGGCGTGGTTTATTAAAAAATATTTTTCCATAGAACCTAAGGCGTGGTTTATTAAAAAATATTTTTTCCATAGAACCTAAGGCGTGGTTTATTAAAAAATATTTTTTTCCATAGAACCTAAGGCGTGATTTATTAAAAAATATTTTTTTCCATAGAACCTAAGGCGTGGTTTATTAAAAAATATTTTTTCTATAGAACCTAAGGCGTGGTTTATTAAAAAATATTTTTTTCCATAGAACCTAAGGCGTGGTTTATTAAAAAATATTTTTTTCCATAGAACCTAAGGCGTGGTTTATTAAAAAATATTTTTTTCCATAGAACCTAGGGCGTGGTTTATTAAAAAATTTATTGAAAACAAAAATTTATTGTTGTAGACCCTAAGGCGTGGTTTTATTAAAAAATATTTTTTAAAAAATTTATTGAGAACAAAAATTGATTGTTGTAGACCCTAAGGCGTGGTTTTATTAAAAAATATTTTTTAAAAAATTTACTGAGAACAAAAATTGATTGTTGTAGACCCTAAGGCGTGGTTTTATTAAAAAATATTTTTTAAAAAATTTATTGAGAACAAAAATTGATTGTTGTAGACCCTAAGGCGTGGTTTTATTAAAAAATATTTTTTCCCATGAACCTATGGCGTGGTTTTACTAAAAAATGTTTTTTATCATGGCCCTAAGGCGTGGTTTTATTAAAAATTATTTTTTCATAGACCCTAAGGCGTGGTGTATCAAAAAATATTTTTTATTCCATAGACCCTAAGGCGTGGTGTATCAAAAAATATTTTTTATTCCATAGACCCTAAGGCGTGGTGTATCAAAAAATATTTTTTATTCCATAGACCATAAGGCGTGGTGTATCAAAAAATATTTTTTATTCCATAGACCCTAAGGCGTGGTGTATCAAAAAATATTTTTTATTCCATAGACCCTAAGGCGCTAATTAAAATTTTTATTGAGAACAAAAATTTATTATTGTAGCGAATTCTGTCTGTCCTGTTTCTGCTCGTCCGTATATATAAAAAACTCCGAAGGTTTCCGATAGTAAAATCTGATTTACCTTTTTATTGAGAACAAAAATTGATTGTTGTTGTGCAATTTTTTGGAATATATATATATATATATATATATATATATATATATATATCGAAAACTATGTTTATAGGTTCTGATTGTGATAGAATATATGAAGGAAAGGATTGGATTAGTCTGGGAAAAATAGTTCGCAATAGACTATTTCAGGCTTAGCCATAATGTACCATTCCGATAAAACAGACAGAAAACTTTTTGGATTTGGGCTCTATAGAAGATTTTCTCTGCTATATTTCTCAGATCACCTGCGGTGCCATATTCATAATCTCATAGACAACTGTCTTTACTTGTCTTACACATCTTATCTTTGGCTGTGAGATTTAACACGAAATCTTCACGATGAAAAGAAAAAAACTGATTGCTCATAGTCTTTTGAAAAAACAAAAAAAAAACAGAAAAATCTATCCAAGATAAAGTTAATGTTGAAGAAGATAACATCTTTAAGTGTGTAACAATTGATTTAAGTGGCGATAAGCGTCATTTGGTAGGAGGAGAAAGAAAACAAATAAAATGTTTATCTGTTGTTTTGATATTTGGAAGAATTAAAAATTTGAATTCTTTATTAAACATTTTTAACAGCGACATCTGATGATAGATAGTTATAGTTTTATTTGACAATAAAACGTGTGTAGTGACATCTATATGTCAAATGAATAATGAATCATTGGTTGTGTTACTATTCGCCGATAGATGTCACTATAAAAATTACATTTATAAAAAGGCTGTATATACAATTTCACCTTTATGTCGGCTTCAGAATACTGAAGTCAATACAACGAACCTTCAAAAGTCCGATAGCCCGAAAAACTGGCTTATAGACTGCAACTGTAAAGATTTCTCAATAAATATTACTATTAAATAATGGCCATGTTTCGTCGGTATCGATCCTCTTCATGTAAGCCTTCGGACATATACTAATAACATGTTTATTGAGAACAAAAATTGATTAATCCTTCAGCTAGAACAAAAATTGGTAGTTGTTGTGTAATCTTTTGGAACCTATTCACCGCTGCTAGTTAAGTTCATATATGGAAAAAGTCATATTTAGAATACTATGGTTCTGAATTTGCAAATTTTGAATTCTTGCAAAAAAATAAAAAAAATTACTAATAGGTCCTCTCTCCTAAGCACGTTTGTAGGCTCAGTCATAGTGATGATTTTCTCTACTGATGATTTTCTGTATTGAGCTAAGGCAGAGCTACTGACCTTATATATAGTGAAATATTTATCTATAGTGAAATGGCCTTATAGAAAATTTTCCATAAGACCTTATAAAAGATTTTCCTATGATAGAACTACTAGTCTTAACGCCACCATATCCGTTGCAACTGTAAATATTCTCGGAATATCCTTTCCATTATTAGATCAGAATTAATGGGAAGTTCTCCATATAAAGTTTATGCAACCTCTTTCTACTCGTCCGCATATAGAAGAGGTACATGCCTTCCGATTATTAAATTTAATTCACATTTTTATTGAGAACAAAAATTGATGATTGTTGATGTGCAATATTTTGGAGCATATATACACTGCTGCTTCAGCTAGTTCATATGTATATAGAATACTAAGTTTTCTGTAAAGAAGCAATAGGTTCTAATTTAGGTGGCATATTTCAAGCAAGGATTGAATTATTCTAGCAAAAATAGTTTGCTCTTAGTCTCAGCCGTGATCCGATAAATCAGATAAAAAAAAAACCCGGCGGATTTGACCTCTGTAGAAGATTTTTTGTGTTGGGCTTCGATAGAACTATTCCGATAAAACAGATAGAAAACTTTCTGGATTTAACCTCTACCGAAGAATTCATGTGTTGGGCTAAGTAGAGCTGCTAATCTTAACCCTTTTAGACCCAAATATATAATCAAATTAATATTTTTTGGTTGGACATAGGCACATAATATTAAAAATTGTCTCATCAAGATTTATAGGAACGTTAAATATCTTCAAATGTACTTTTAGAACATTTTTTGGTTGGACATAGGCACATAATATTAAAAATTGTCTCATCAAGATTTATAGGAACGTTAAATATCTTCTTTGTGCTCACATGGATCAGATAAAAGTATCTTTTGGTCAGTTCCATAACAATCCAATGTTTCATCAAGATTTATAGGAACGTTAAATATCTTCTTTGTGCCCACATGGATCAGATAAAAGTATCTTTTGGTCAGTTCCATAACAATCCAATGTTTTTTTTTTTAAATGTTCATAAAGAATTTATTTTTATATTTTTAAAATCTACAGTTTATTTCAAGCAAAAATACTATAAAACGTGCTAAATTTGTAGGGATCAAAACTTTCAAAACTGTCCCATTGGTCAGAGAATATGCAAGCTCGTCTGGAATTTTCTAATAATTTTTTTACTGAGAACAAAAATTGATTGTTCACCATTATTATCAGAATTTTGGGATCCGTAACAACCTTCCTCGGCCCGTTTATAAAAGACTGGCAGTTAGCTCGTATCTCGCATTCTAGTCCTAATTTTTATATTAATTACCTATTAATTTGTTATAGACGTCTCAACGGGCTTATCTTCCCGATGTATTTCAAGCGGAAGAACTGCAGAACATGATAAGTTACTGTGGATTTAAACTTTTACAACTGCCCCGTTGATCAGAAAATATTCACGCTCGTGTGGAATTTGTATTAAATTCTTTTAATTTATTGAGAAGAAAAATTAATTATTGATGAAACTTTATGACATTTGGACAATTTGAACGGGTCAGGTAGCAAAAAAATATTACCGAGGCTTGTAGAAAAGTATAAAGAAGAACTTGTCTGCCAGAATTAGTTCCCTCAGGGATCATTGCCTTTATCCAATTGCCTTCTAACAAAGGAAGATTTACAAATTCGCGCATCAAAAGTTTTCTTTTTGGGTTGCCTACTAAAATCTGATGTAATATTGAGAACAAAAATTGATTATTTTGCCATATTTGGTGTCATTATGAATAATGTCATTTTGGAATTTGTTGGCATATGTCTTGCTCTACCAGCGGTATTCTGTGATCTAGATCTCACCTATCAGGAACAGGGTATATTGTGGGCAATTTGTTTCCTTGGAATTATCACCATTTTTGGGGTCTACTTGCGGACACTTTAGGACGGAAGCGTATTATGATGCCTACACTGTTCCTGCGATTCTTTTTTAACCCTCAGGCCGTTTATAAAAGGTTTTCTGACTTTTAGACAATTTGAATGGGTTAGCTAGCCATAAACAGATCAAAAAATATTACCGAGGCTTGTAAAAAAGTACAAAGAAGAATTTGTTTGTCTGAATTAGTTCCCTCGTAAATCAACTGTCTTCTGACCAAGGAAGATTTACAAATTGATTTACGAATCAAAAGTTTTTTTTTCTTGTCTACTAAAATTTGATGTAATTTTTATTGAGAACAAAAATTGATTATGTTGTCATCTCGCATAGGAGGAGGTTATAAAATGATATGGTCTAAGCTATGATTACTAAAATCTGATTCACATTTTTATTGAGAACAAAAATTGATTATTTTCGGCACCATAACGCCCTTCTGTATATCAAGGGAACCGAATTGTCGGAAAATACAAATACATTCAGAGATGAGTTTTCTCCTCTACAGAAAAGTATTGCACCGGATTTATTAAATCCAGTTTGAAATTGTCATTTCCATTACATACATGTCACATAAATACTCATAGAGGACGTTAACCCGGCAAAACTACAAAACGGTAGAAGATTTAACCCTAAATAATAGGTTTTTGAACTCATACATATATGTAGTTCGCAACTGTACCACACATCTGTCGTACGCCAAATCTAGTATTTCTTTAGAAATGTGATTTTCATTTCTGGCCATTTGTCTAAACCGATAAACATTCTCTTAAAAAACGTGTCAGACAAAATGGCAAAAATATTATTTCCAAGACTACTTATTTTATTACCCGCAGATAAAATCTAAGTCTGATGTTTGTCGAAAACAACAACAAAGAAATGTTTATATATAATTTGATAAACCTTCCGCAAAATGCTATATGAAACCATGCCTCCATCCATACAACCACCCACCCACATAGGAGGAGAAGTATACAAATAAATTGTCTAAGGTCCAATATATGTATCGAAATGGTATTTTGAGATAAGATTTTTTTCTTTCTCGGTGAAGGAGTTGACAACAGCATCATGACCGAAAAAATGATGATAACAATTTTAGAAATAATAACAACACTTGTTTTTCCCAATCATGTAAGCAGCCGCTACTAAATTCCGAACATCTTTTGGAACAAACAACAAAATTAACTTAATTCCTGTCTGTTCCCTTGTCTAATTATTTGCATTGGGGGGCTTTAGAGGTGTTATAAAACCTTCAGAAAAATTGTTTATATGCCTGCCGACGTCTTATTATAAAAACAGGGGTCTGTAAAGGTAAATCCGTGAAAAATACTTTAATAAATGATAAGCGGGAACGCTGCTACTTGTGTGCTGAGCATCGGTACAATTGGCACCGAGAGTAGGCGAAACTATAAAATGTTTGAAACAACTGAAATGCTTTCACATTTCACAATTGTGATCATTCCAAGGGCAATGTAGTGAAAGTGGTACGCCTCCAAAATAAAAACTCCAGAAAGAAAATTCCCAAAAAGGCTGCAGAACATCAAGTCCACGCAAAAAAAAAGAAACTATCTTAACATCACAAAAATGACTAAATCCGAAAACGCCATGGACAAAAAGGAGAATTCTAAAATTGCCACCATCAATGAGGCTTTGGAAAAAACTCGTAAGTCTCAAAACAACTCAACAATGGAAAAATATTTCTCTAACCTCTTCTCCTTTCTTTTTTTTTGTGCAGATTTTGGCCGTTTCAATAAACAAATAATTATTTTCTCTGGCGTCATCTTGAACAATGTCATCTTGGAATCGGTTGGCATAAGTTTTGCTTTGCCAGTGGTATCCTGTGATCTTGATTTGTCATATCAGGAGCAGGGTATATTGGGCGCCATTTGTTTCCTTGGCATTATCATTAGTTCCCATTTTTGGGGTCTACTGGCCGATACTTTGGGACGTAAACGTATTATGATGCCAAATTTGTTTTTGGGATTTCTTGTAACCCTGATCTCCAGTTTTTCCGTTAATTTTACAATGGTGGTGGTGTTGCGTTTCCTCAACGGTGTTTTGTAAGTATATTAATTTTATTTTTAAACCTTTTGGAACAATTTTTTTTTTTTTAATTTTTATTGAGAACAATAGTTGATTAATTCAAGGGTTTGAAAAAGCAGTTCGTGGTATTATTAGAATCATATCCTACCATAAAAAATTAGTTCATTAGAGTTTTTCATTTTATTGAGAACAAAAGTAGGTTAATTCAGTGACTTGTGAAAGATTTTTTTATTAATTATAGGAATATATAATCTGTTCCAGAACTGCAAGAATCTACTAATTTTTATGACTATTTTTTGACATCAAAAAGGAAAATTTGTTATCTTTGTAAAAATATTTACATTCTGTCCCAAATTCAACCAATATTCAGGCGATCTTTGGTTTCCTTTGTATAATCCCCTAAAAATTTATTAACCCATTTATTGAGAACAAAAATTGGTTGTTAATATATATAGTCAAATTTCGTGAAAGGTGTGGTCTATACAGGATTCCCAGAACTTCCCTACCGACACGAAAACTTCAATATATCCACAAGCAATAGTTCAAAAAATCCGTCCCAGCCTACACAAAAACTTCAATATATCCACAGGCAATGAATCGAAGAGGAAACACAGTAGTCCAAAAAACCTCTATACGTTGTATTCTTCTGCAGGGAAATTCCGAATTTCTATGAAAAATAATACTACCCTGAAAAAAAGCACAAAAATTCTCTAATTCAGTAATCTATCTATACGTTGTATTCTTCTGCAGGGGAATTCCGAATTTCTATGAAAAATAATACTACCCTGAAAAAAAGCACAAAAATTCTCTAATTCAGTAATCTATTATATTGATTGTTGATGTATTTTCGCAGACCTTTTCCAATTTATAAATCTCTCCTCCAATTCTCTAAGCAACCATGACTTTATTTTATGTATAAAAACTGCCCAAAATCGAAGTTCAGAGAGTCCTCTATAGTCGAACTGAAGTGTGTGAAGTCTTCTATCTCCAAAGGTAGAAGATATCAAACTAAATTCCCACTTTAGTCCTAGCCCATGTTTTATCTAACAGGCACATTGGTTATAAAAAATTATCAGGCCCTCAACCGGTATAGGAAAATATTTTAGGGCACATTGTCAAACTAATTGCCTATAATTTGTTTGAATGCGTTCTGGTATGGTAGTAAACCTTCCTACTAAAAATTGTAATTATTGGCCCAACTTCTTAGTGAAGCTGCATCCTATATATCGGCATTTTCCGGAGTTTGGACACATATTTCAACCAATTTATTAGTAATTTAATATTTTGGACTCTTTTTGAGAAGAAATTTCCCTACCAAGAAGTATCAACATTGGCCCATTTTCCGGTTAGGCCCATACAAAGGTATCCTCCATATATGGTGGCTACCCTGAAGATGGAGAATATTGATCATACTTTCAACTGATCTAATAAGGCTATCATACCTAAAACATGTATTGTATTAATTCTCCCAGGCTTTCAGGTCGTTTTTGTGAATCTCTAGCCTACATTGAGTCTATAAAGGCGCCCAACAGTTCGTCTGTAAAGGCGCCCTTCATCTAGCTCCATAAAGACGCTTTACAGCTTGTCTATAATGATGACCTAGGACTGGTCTATAAATACGTCCTAAACCTATAACTATAAAATCATTCTTGCCTTCAGTCCCAAAAAAACCTCCATGACTTCACGTATTGGAATATTTATTGAGAACAAAAATTGATTTGTTTGAATCCTTTTGCCACCTGTCTTTTGCCATCAAAGCCCTTCTTCTTCGGTCTGAACTGAAAAGAAAGAATTTTTATTATTTCAAAACCCGCTATGACTTCATGTATTCGAATATTTATTGAGAACAAAAACTGATTGTTTGAATCCTTTTGCCACCTGTCTTTTGCCATGTCAAAGCCCTTCTTCTTCGGTCTGAAGTGAAAAGAAAATAGTTTTATTATTCCAATATTATTTTCCATACAAAAATCATCCAATACTGCTCCTTTAAAGATGACCAGATGCGAACCATTTTTATTGGGTCCTGAATTTGTCATAGACAATGTATCAACGACTTGAATGGCGTCTTTATAGAGCAAGGGAGACTTTCTAGAGGATCTGAATTTCAATGAAAAATGTCAAGATGACCTGAAGAAAGCTTGAATAAATGAGCAAAATTTATATACTAGGTGAACGGAAGGACTTCTATATAGACGAGAGGTCCTTTCCGACGTTAACTGCTGATTTTTTTGCCAGTATTAATTTTGCAGGAATGCCAAACGCAGACATTGCTCAGAAAGCTCCAAATTGATAGTTTCTATTCCTAGTATATTTATTCCTAGTTATATATTATTGTACTAGTCTCACACATACATATACAAATTGACATCTTCTCACCATGTGCATCACTGCTTTATTCCCACATTCCCGTTCCATCTCAACTGCCATCACTTTAATCCCATCTGCTTTATTTGACAATGGAATTTTTGAGACTATTTGCCCTCGAGACGCAAAACAGGATCACACTATAAAGCGTGAACTTGCATAATACGATTAGGATATAATATGAACTATTTTTGGATGATTTATTATAAGAACATTTTTATCACAACTTGACTTTAGAGATGGCAACAGTTTAAGTGAGCATATTTCACCATGACAATTATTTAACTATAGAAGGATTATTTAACTATAGAATTTCATCATTTAACTATAAATGATGAAATTCTTAAATGGGAGATAAGTAAGTATACTTTTATTGCAATAATAAAGTTTTGATCCATTTGATACCGTTGTTGAAACAAATCTTTGGCAAATGTTAGCATTTGATCCATTTTATACTGTTGTTGAATCAAATCTTCGTATAGGGTTAACATTTGCGGCATTTATTAGTCTGAAAAAAAAAAACTTGAAGATAAGAATTTAACTTGAGGCAAACAAAAGAAGGCGTCTCCAGGTCTTCAGCTAAAAATAAATACAACAAATAAAAATGGTAGGCCTCTTTAAAAAAAAAAAAAAAAAAAAAAAAAAAGACACGCGTAGATTAAAAAACAAAAGATGTACTTCTATATGGGGTAATTTTTTTTTAATGGAGTAATATATATGTGGATTAGAAGGGAAACAAAAAAGAGTTTGAAATTTTGTGTAAAATTATATTTGGTGGGAAGACCTTTATGATTATTTAGCTTCTGAAAATATGTTGGGTGCCACTTTCAATTTATTTTCGACATAATTTCTTGTTTGATCATTTGTGAAGTTCCCTACATTTCCCAAATATTTTAATGTTTATTTTTTATTTATTGAGAACAAAAATTAATTATTTAATCTTCATATTTTCTAATTGACCAAACTTCCTCTTTTCTTCCAATAGCATTTCTGCCAGTTCGGCCACCATCTACGCCTATATGGGCGAATTCCACTGTGAAAAACATCGTAATCGTGCCGTACTATATGGATCTTTCATTGCAGCCTTTAGTGCGGTTTTCTTTCCGCTAATAGCATGGTTCTTTATCAATCAAGAATGGGAATTTGTGGTGCCATTGATTGGTATAACCTATAAACCATGGCGTTTATTCTTTGTTATGAGTGGTGTATCTGGATTGGTGTGTGGTATCATATTCCATTATTTGCCGGAAAGTCCAAAATATTTATTAACTGCCAATAGGCATGATGAGGCGCTGGAGGTATTGCGTTATATGCATAAGAAAAATACAGAGGCCAATAAAAAATTGCAAAATGAAAGTTTTGAGGTAAGATAATCAAAAACAAAAAAAAAATATTTTTATTAAATAAATATTTTTTTCCAGATCACCACTTTACTACCCGATTTGGCAGATATACCTAAAGTAGTGACAGAAACAAAAACCCCCCAAAAGAAATCATTCACCTCAATTTGTTTGGTAATCTGGAATCAAACAGCACCATTGTTTATGCGCCAGCATATACGCAAAACCTTTTTATCCTCCGCCATTCTGTTTACCACCTTCTTTACGGCCCATGGTGTCTATATGTGGTTCCCGTTTATTCTCAATAATGTCAGTTTATATGTGGCCAATTATGATGAGCCCAAAAGGCTATGTGAGATTATACGATTTTCTCAAAGCTCGAATTTTACCATAAATGAACAATCAGAGGTAAGGTTCCCTCTTTCAACCCCTCAAAATTTCTATTTGTCAATTATATTATCTCTTCTTTTTTTTAGTTTCCGGTGGCTGAGAAGATCTGTGTCACCAAACTGGAAATTGATACGTATAAGCATACCATGTCCTTGGAAATTATTTATGTCACTCTTCTGCTTTTGGTTATTTATGCCAATCGTAGATTTGGACGCATTCCCATTTTGTGTAAGTATTAAATATCTAGAAGATCTTTGCAATGGGTTTAATAATTGTTTCCCTTTTTCTAGGTATTGTCCTCACACTTTGTGGAGTCTGCGGTGTTCTCAGCTTATTAATTGATATTCCCATGGCATCGATATATCTATTTCTCATCATGCTCTGTTCCGGTCTGGGCACAAATGTCATGAATGCCATTGTTGTGGATATTTATCCCACAAGTTTAAGGTAAGTTAAAACATTCCCTTATAAATCAAAAGATATATAAAAGTAAAACCGAAAACAATTTCGATCAAATGAAGATTCTTGCAGCTTCTAAACATAAATAATTTTATTGAGAACAAAAATTAATTGGAGTTTTCAATGAGTTTTCCATCATAAAATATTTTACAGAGAGAGTTTCGAATGCTTGTTTCTATTTTCCAAACAAAATATTTATCCCGATGGCTTCTCCCTGAGAAATTGCTACTTTTCGAAAATTCCCATCAGACTGCTTTCAGCTCGTCTATAAAGTCTTCCTTCAGTTCTTCTTTTTTTTTCTTGTGAAGAAAAATTAATTGTGGTTTTTGAAGGCTCTTGCTCTTGAAGATATTGCTCGCTTCCATTTTGTTCAGAAGAATAATTTATTGAGAACAAAAATTAATTATTTTTCTTTTCCATTTTTTCCAGAGCCATGGCTGTTTGCATTTCCCTAATGGTGGGTCGCATTGGCAGTGTCACCGGCAGTAATGTTTTAGGTGCTCTCATCGAAACGCATTGTGAAGAGGCCCTTTACACTTCATCATTTGCTTTGGTGGCAGCTGCCATTTTGGCTCTACTAATGCCTAAGGCACCATTGGAGAAGAAGAAAAACCCAAGCATCGAAGAAGCTCATTAGTTTTTAAGAGTTTTACTACTGTGTTAATTTTTTTTTACATAAATTATTTATTATTATTTTTTTAATAAACACGATTCGAAAAAGATTCCAGGGTAGGGAAGAATTCTTAATCGGAAAATGCAGAGCACGTATTACAAATATTGCTCGGAATAGTGATCTCCAGAATGTTTGAGTTTAGTAGTAGTTGTATAAGGTATCATATAGCCGGCCTGTCCGACAACACTGCTCCATTTCCCAGTTTTTAAATACAAGAATCTATGCTATAACAAGTCCACTAAAACCTGAATCTCATCTAAAAAAAAGCTCACAGAAAAGTCCAATGCCTCAGGTGTCTGTAATCAAATTTTCTTCACAATGAAGGCCATATCAACCAGTCTATAAATCATAAATAGGGGAGTACAGGCCTTCCGGTTGTTAAATTTGATTCACATTTTTATTGAGAACAAAATTGATGGTTGTTGTGCACTCTTTTGGAACCTATTCATCGCTGCTAGTTCAATTCATATATGGAATAGTTCATATTTAGAATACTAAGGTTTTCAATTTGCAAAGATTTAATTCTTGCAAAAAAAAAAAAAAAAATGAGATGGTTGGAACTACTGGTCTTAACGCCAACATATCGGTTGCAACTGTAATTATTCTCGGAATATCCTTTCTATTATTGGAATTATCAGAATTAATAGAAAGTTTCTGTAACCTCGTTCTAGTGGTTAAATTTTATTTAAATTTTTATTGAGAACAAAAATTGATTGTTGATGTGGAATATTTTGGAGCATACACTGCTGTTTTAGCTATTTCATACGTATATAGAATACTAAGTTTTCTGAAAAAACAATAGGTTCTGATTTTGGTGGCATATTTCAAGCAAGTATTGAATTATTCTAGCAAAAATAGTTTGCTCATAGGCTCCTGTTTTAAGCACAGTCACAGTAGTCTCAGCCGTGATCCGATAAATCAGATAAAAAACTCGGCGGAATTGACCTATGTAGAAGATTTTTTGCGTTGGGCTTCGATAGAACTATTCCGATAAAACATATAGAAAACTTTCTGGAATTAACCTCTACTGAAGAATTCCTGTGTTGGGCTAAGTAGAGCTACTAACCTTAACCCTTTTTAGACCCAAATACATTAATATTTTGTTGGGTCTGAAAGTGTTAAGGTTAAGGTAGAGGAAAAAAATGTATTTTAGAAGATTTTTTGGGTTGGACATAGGCACATAATATTACAAATTGTCCCATCAAGATTTATAGGATCAGATAAAATTATCTTATGGCAAATAATTTATTTTTATCATTTAGAAATCTCCAGTTTTTTTTTTCAAGCAAATATTCGAGAGAACTTTCTAAATTTGTAGCGATCAAATCTTTGAAAAGAATCAGAAAAGAATTTTCTAATATATTTTTATTGAGAATAAAAATGGATTGTTGACCATTATTATCACAATTTTGAAGGCCCTAACAACTTTCCTCGTGGCGTTTTTAAAAGCTCGTATCAAGACCTATAGAAATGATCTTGATATATCTCGTATGGATCACTATTCTTCTAGTCCTAAATTTTATATTAATTGCCTATTAATTTTTTTATAGACGTCTCAATGGGCTTAACTTCCCAGTGTATTTCAAGCAGAAGAACTGGAGAACTAGATAAGTTACTATGGATTTAAACTTTTACAACTGCCCCGTTGGCAAATATGCACACTCAACTGGAATTTGTTTTAAATTCTTTTAATTTATTGAGAACAAAAATTAATTATTAATCATTAATATCTAAATTTAGGAACCTTCTCCAGGCCGTATAAAACATTATGACTTTTAGACAATTTGAACGGTTCAGCTAGCAAAAAGTATAAAGAATAACCTGTCTGTCAGAATTAGTTCCCTCACGAATCATCGCCTTTATCCAATTGTCTTCTGACCAAGGAAGATTTAAAAATTTGCGAATCAAAAGTTTTCTTTTGGGTTGCCTACTGATGCATTTTTTTATTGAGAACAAAAATTTATTATTTTGCCATCTTTGGTGTCATCTTGAATAATGTCGTTTTGGAATTGGTTGGCATACGTTTTGTTCTACCAGTGGTGATTTAGATCTCTCCTATCAGGAACAGGGTATATTGGGGCCAATTTGTTTCCTTGGAATTATCATCAGTTCCAATTTTTGGGGACACTTTAGGACGAAAACGTATTATGATGCCTACACTGTTCCTGGGATTTCGTTTAGTCCTCAGGCCATTTATAGTCCTCAGACCATTTATAAAAGATGGTATGGTCTTAGCTATGATTACTAAAATCTGATTAACATTTTTATTGAGAACAAAAATTGATTATTTTCGGCACCATAACACGCTTCTGTATATCAAGGAAAACGAATTGTCGAAAAATACAAATTAAGTCAGAGATGGGTCTTCTTCTCTACAGACTTATAGTACGGTCACTTTGTACCGGATTTATTAAATCCAGATCGAAATTGTCATTTCCATTGCATATATGTCAAATAAATTCTCATAGAGGAAGTTATCCCGACAAAAGTGCCGTTTTACAACAAATGTCGCGCGTCACTACAAAACGGTAGAAGGTTTAACCCTAAATAATAGGTTTATGAACTTCAAATTAGAACATGACTTAATTTCCTACATATATGTAGTTCGCAACTGTGCCCCACATCTGTCGTACGCCTAATCTAGTATTTCTGTAGAAATGAGATTCTCATTTCTGGCCATTTGGCTAAACAGATAAACATTCTCTTTAAAAACGTGTCAGGCAAAATGACAAAAACATTATTTCCAAGACTACTTATTTTATTACTCGCAGATAAAATCTGAGTCCGATGTTTATCAAAAACAACAACAACAAAATGTTTAAAAATAAATACAATTATGTTATAATTTGCTAAAAACCTTCCGCAAAATGCTATATGAAACCATGCCTCTAACCATACACCCACCCACATAGAGGGAGGAGTATACAAATAAATTGTCTAAGGTCCAATATATGTCTCGAAATGGTATTTTGAGATAAGATTTTTTTCTTTCTCGGTGAAGGAGTTGACAACAGCATCATGACTGAAACAAATGATGATAAAAAATTTTAGAAATAAAAACAACACTTGTTTTTACCAATCATGTAAGCAGCCGCTACTAAATTCCGAATATCTTTTGGAACAAACAACAACAACAAAATAACTTAATTACTGTCTGTTCTCTTGTCTAATTATTTGCATGGGGGGCTTTAGAGGTGTTATAAAACCTTCAGAAAAAATGTTTATATGCCCGTCCGATGTCTTATTTAAAAAAAGGGGTCTGTAAAGGTAAATCCGTGAAAAATACTTTAATAAAAGATAAGCGGGAACGTTGCTACTTGTGTGCTGAGCATCGGCACCGAGAGTAGCCGAAACTATAAAATGTTTGAAACAACTGAAATGCTTTCACATTTCACAACTGTGATCATTCCAAGGGCAATGTAGTGAAAGTGGTACGCCTCCAAAATAAAATCCCGAAACAAAATTCCCAAAAAGGCTGCAGAACATCAAGTCCACAGAAAACAAAAGAAACAAAAAATATCTTAACATCACAAAAATGACTAAATCCGAAAACGTCATGGACAAAAAGGAGAATTCTAAAATTGCCACCATCAATGAGGCTTTGGAAAAAACTCGTAAGTTTTAAAACAACTCAACAATGGAAAAATATTTCTCTAACCTCTTATCCTTTCTTTTCTTTTTTACAGATTTTGGTAAATTCAACAAACAAATAATTATTTTCTCTGGCGCCATCTTGTATAATGTCATCTCGGAATCGGTTGGCATAAGTTTTGCTTTGCCGGTGGTATCCTGTGATCTTGATTTGTCATATCAGGAACAGGGTATATTGGGCGCCATTTGTTTCCTTGGAATTATAGTTAGTTCCCATTTTTGGGGTCTACTGGCCGATACTTTGGGACGTAAACGTATTATGATGCCAACATTGTTTTTGGGATTTTTTGTAACCCTGATCTCCAGTTTTTCCATTAATTTTACAATGGTGGTGGTGTTGCGTTTCCTAAATGGTATTTTGTAAGTATATTAATTTTATTTTTAAACAATTTTTTTTTTAGTTTTTATTGAGAACAAAAGTTAATTGGTTTAGTGATTCGAAAAAGAATTCAGTGGTATTATTAGAATCAAATCCTATCATAAAAAATTAGTTCATTACAGTTTTTCATTTTATTGAGAACAAAAATTAACCAATTTTTGCAGTGACTTTTTAATAATTATTTGAATATGTGTTCCGTTCCAGAACTGAAAAAGTCTACTATTTTTTTTTTTTTTTTTGACTATTTTTGGACATCAAAAAGTCCATCGTTGTAAAAATATTTACATTCTGCCCCATATTCGACAAATATTCTGGCGATCTTCGGTTTTCTTAGTATTGACCCCTAAAATTTTATTAATCTATTTATTGAGAACAAAAATTAGTTGTTAATATATGAAGGCAAATTTTCTGAAAGGCATGGTTTATACAAAACTCCCCGACCTTGCCTACCTTCACGAAAACTTCAATATATCCACAAGCAATAGTTCAGCAAATCCTTCTCGATTGCTGTTCCCTGCCTACACAAAAACTTCAATATATCTACAGGCACAGTAGTCCAACAAAACGCTTCTCGGTACTTTGTATTCTTCAGCCGGGGGATTTCTATGAAAAATAATACCACCCTGAAAAAACCCACAAAAATTCTCTATTTTCTATTATTTTGAGTGCCTGCTTAATTCCGATTACATTTTTTTTATTGAGGACAAAAATTGATTTGTGATGTATTTAGGCAGACCTTTTCCAATTTATAAATCTCTTCTCCAAATCTTGAGCAACCATAACATTACATTGTGTATAGAAGACTGCCCACAATCTGAAGTTCTATAGCCGAACTGAAGTGTGTGTGTAGTGTTCTATCTCCATCTTCTTTCTTCTGTTTGTCTAAAAGGAACCCATGTTTCATCTAAAAGCCAACTTCGTTCATAAAATGTTA